CGGGCCCCCCCCGGCACGCCCGCACGTCCCGGCCCAGGCAGGAGCGTGGGGGGAGGCGAGGACAGCGCAGGTCTCCGGCCGCTCCCACCGGCCGCTCGGTGTATTCCCCGTCGTCCCACCAGTGCTGATCCCCCTCCATCCCAGCTGAGCAGCATCACCCACCCCAGGATCCCCTCTCCACCGCCCCCCGCTCTGCTGACTCCTCTTCCGAAAGTTTTCCATCAGATAACAAATGCTCTTCCTTCTGCTCACCGGGGCGGTCACGCTGACGGTATTTGAGGCTGTGACCATATCTGCGCTTGACTCTCCTCTCAATCTCTCACCATGTACCTTATCAGTTCTGCTTCCCATTTTAATGCACTTCTTGGTATTTTTCCTGGGGCTTCTTCAAGTACCGTTCCTCCCCTCTGAGGATGCAAACAGATTTCACAGCCAGGCTAAATCTCAGCTGCAGGAAAAGCTTTGCTGTGTACCTGCCACACAGCCCTTGCCAAACTCTGATCTTCTTCCAGCTCATCAGCTCGCCCAGCCAGGCTGGAGCTCGGACACGAAACCTGCCCGGAAACCTCTGCAGGGTTCAGTCCCGGCACGAGGTCAGCGCGGACGGCAGCCCGGAACAGGGGAAACGAGACCCGGGCAGCAGGTCCCAGCCATCTCATTTCCACATGAATTAAATCTGATCTCGTGCCGAGACGTGAACTCCCGCGTCGTTGTGCTGTACACAACGGCTGCAGGTATGTCAGCCATCCCTGCAACGCGTTCCAGACACCCCCCGGCCCGGTCCGACCGGGAACATCGCCGACGAGCTCGCTGCGTGCAGCCAGGCTCAAACCCCTGGGTGTGAGCAGCGGATGAGCACCTACTCACTTCTCCCTCAGAGGTTTAAAGGAGTTTTGAAACCTGCTCGGAGAAACCGATCTGACGGCACGGGAGAGGCGGCCGCGAGCAGAGGAGGAAGGATGTGAGAGGGAGAATTGGAGCAGAGCGGATGAACAGGGGAGGGGAACGAAGGATGCGAGGAAAGAGACATGGAAATGGAAATTAAAACCTTGCCAGTCCAACACCACGCCACGGACAGGACCCTCCGCTGAGGCAAACCACCGTAGGTGTCCCCCCCAGCAGCCCCTTCCTTCATCTCTCCTGGAGGGAACTGGGAAGGAAACCACCACTTCTGCTGCCGGGTGCTCCTCTGGCCTCACCCCTCCCACGGCCAGGAGGGAAGGCACTGGGACCAGGAGGGAATGCACTGGGACCAGTGCTCTTCATGGTGGCAGACTCAGCTAAACATTAACTTTTATGTTTTACACATAAATCGGTTTGGAGCAGCTCTGCGGAGAGGGACCTGGGTGTCCTGGTGGACGACAAGGTGACCATGAGCCAGCAGCGTGCCCTGGGTGCCAAGAAGGGCAATGGGATCCTGGGGTGCATGAGGAGGAGTGTGGGCAGCAGGGCGAGGGAGGTTCTCCTTCCCCTCTGCTCTGCCCTGGGGA